GGGAACTGGTGACGCCACGCGTCCGTCAGGCGGCCAAAGCAGCGCTGGGTGGGGTGGGCACCCCCACACTGCTCACCCGCACGGTCGCCAGTGCGCAAAACGTAGGAGCACGGACCAAAACCCCCACCCCGCTGACGCGCAGTGTACCACTCACGAAGCTGCTGAGGGGACAGGGTGTCACGACCACGCTGCTGCTGCTGGCGCGAGCCACCACCGGAGCCACTCCTCTGCGAAGACCCGCGACCAGCACCACCGCCACCCCCGCCGCCTCCGACGCCTCCGCCGCCTCCGCTACTGCCGCCGCCTCCGCCTCCGCCGCCGCCTCCACCTCCGCCACCTCCGCCACCGCCGCCGCCACCTCCACCTCCACTGCCGCCACCGACCCCTCCACCCCCACCTCCACTCCCACCGCCACCCCCACTCCCCCAACTGCCGCCACCTCCACCTCCACCGCCCCCGCTCGCTCCTCCAGCGCCCTTGCCCCCCTTGCCCTTGCCAGAGCGGCGTCTCCCGCTAGGGGCAGACGCCGCACCGACCGACTCAAGAACAAGGAGGTCGGCCGCAGCAGCAGAGGCAACAGAGGGCAGAAGGGGGGAGGGGGAACACCCCTCAAAGATGGGGGTGCGCGGGTCACCACGAGAGGCCCCTACAGCGACTATGCTCTTCTCGGCCGCTAGGAGGGACTTCTCGAGGAGGTCAACAGTGAGAGTGGTGGGACAGACAGAGAGAAAGTGGTCCCTGACTACGCGAAGGGAGTCAGGAAGGCGAGTGACTATGTAGTAAAGAGTGATGTACATGGGGGGGGGGGTTCCTGGCGCAGAAGTCAGGAGGGAGTGCAGCGCGGTAGCGAGTGTCACTAGTGCGGAGGTGCGTAATGAGGTCAGTGACTGTGGGAAAGGCAGCAAGATCAGGAAAGAGGTACGGTAGCATGAGACGGCTCAGTGCAGCAGTGGCAGGGGAGGAGTAGCGCGCAACGACAGCGTCGTACAAGGTCTGAGCACTCTTGTACTGACTAAAGTGCGCACGCTCGGAGGTAGGGAGGTGGCGACGCACAGCAAGACGTGCAGCAGCGTCGCGCGTGGCCCACTGGGAGCGAACAGTGGCGTCAACATCAGCAGCAGGGGCAGTGGAGGTGCCAGAGGTGAGGTCAAAGAGAGAGAGGCCGTCTGCCCTATCGCACTGTAAGAACAGCTGCAGGTCATCTACCCAGACCTCAAAGTCAATGGCCCTACCCTCAGCGTCAAAGGCGAGAACACTAGGGGTAGCCATGACCCTAGACGACTAGCAGCGCAAACAGTAGGGTGAGGACAGTGCAGTGAAAAGGCGCTGTGCTCACCAGACTGGGCAGGTCGGGCGGCCCTGAAGGAGGGCGGCGCGGCGGCTCGGCGGCTCAGCTGCTGGGCGGCCCGGCGGCTCGGCGGCTCCGCTGCTGGGCGGCTCGGCTGCTGGGCGGCTCGGCTGCTGGGCGGCTCGGCTGCTGGGCGGCGCGGCCGCTGGGCGGCTCGGCTGCTGGGCGGCTCGGCTGCTGGGCGGCTCGGCGGCTCGGCTGCTGGGCGGCTCGGCGGCTCGGCTGCTGGGCAGCTCGGCTGTGCTGCTGCAGGGCGGCACGGCTGGGCAGCAGGTGACGGGGCCGCAGGTAAGGGCGGCGGGGCCGCTGGTAAGGGCGGCGTGGCTGCGGGTAGGGTGGCGGGGCCACAGATAGGGTGGCAGGGCCGCAGCAGAGGGCGGCGGGGCCGCAGGTAAGGTGGCGGGGCCGCAGGTAAGGTGGCGGGGCCGCAGGTAAGGTGGCGGGGCCGCAGCAGAGGGCGGCGGGGCCGCAGGTAAGGGCGGGGCCGCAGGTAAGGTGGCGGGGCCGCAGGTAAGGTGGCGGGGCCGCGAGGAAGGGCGGCGGGGCCGCTAGGTAGGGCGGCGGGGCCGCGCGATGGGGCGGCGGGGCCGCGAGGAAGGGCGGCGGGGCCGCGCGATGGGGCGGCGGGGCCGCGCGATGGGGCGGCGGGGCCGCGCGATGGGGCGGCGGGGCCGCTAGGTAGGGCGGCGGGGCCGCTAGGTCGCGGCGGGGCCGCGCGATGGGGCGGCGGGGCCGCGATGGGGCGGCGGGGCCGCTAGGTAGGGCGGCGGGGTCGCGCAATGGGGCGGCGAGGCCGCGAGGTAGATCGGCGGGGCCGCTAGGTAGGGCGGCGGGGCCGCTAGGAGAGAGGCGGCGGGGCCGCGAAGACGGGCGGCGGGGCCGCGGAGACGGGTGACGGGGCCGCAGTGCAGGGCCGCTAGGGCGGCTCGACGAAGTGAGGGCCCGGAGCGCGACTCGGGCTGAGCGCGCTTCGGGCAGGAAAAAAAAAATCGATGTGGTGGGCCCTAAGCACAGTTCCCAAGGGGGAACCTGCTCGATACCATGAGAAGATTTGAACAAGAATGAATGAACTATGAAATGAAGTGAGTACAAATATGAAACCCTAATTGGTTGTACCCCCTATGGGATACCCCACTATAGCCTACACAACAGCATAAGCTATAATGTTCTGACACATCCTGCATACTGTGGCCTGTTGGACTAATGCCCCCCAACCCTACCCGTGTCTGCGAGCATCGGCTTAGCTTTCACCCGCACTCCGCCCCACCACAGGGTTCGACTACAAGAGAGCCCAGCAGGATCTGTGGATGTTTACATCCACAATGTTCGCCCAGCACAACAACGAGGAATTCCATCAGGCGCTGACGAACATGCTGCGGGATGATGCATGGCGTGTCTCCTTCCCCAACATCATGCGGATGTGGCAGTCAGTGGCCGTGCTGCCATTGAGCACGGTTGAATGCGAGCGTGGCTTCTCGAAGCAGAATCTGATCAAGACGTGGGGCCGTGGCAGCCTTGGCGACACAAGCCTGGAGCATCTGATGCGATGCTCCCTGCTGCGGTACGATGTCGACTGGTTTGAGGTGGTCGCTATCTTTCGTGGAGAGAGGCTGAGGCGATCCACCAGGGAGTTCGACCCCACCAGAGCTTCACAGACTCAGTTTGTAGAAGATGTAGGCAGTGGGGGTGGCACTGAGTAGGTGTGTAGTTCATGTGTGACTTATGTAGAGTGAATGGACTTTGGGTGTATTACTTTATTTCTGATTTTATTAAAACCGTAGCTCACAAAACTGTAACCAAAACAGAATTGGCCCGAAAATACCCTGCTCAAATCAGCCTAGTGCCAGAGTTACCCTGCTGAAATCAGGCTACGGAAAATTCTACCCTAGGGGTCTGTTCTAGGAGGGGCTGGTACCCTGATTTGTAAGAGTAGGCCTAAACCAATTTTGGGCCCTGGTCTGGTGGTGGGCCCGGAGAATCTGAAGTGGCTTTTCCTTCTGGAGCCATAGTGGTGCAGAGTTTGTAAAGATGTAACGAATAATTTATAAGAAGGTTATTCTAGCAAGAACAAGAACTTAGCAGGCCATATAATCCACTCTAGCTCTCATACCATGATGTTATAACTGAAGGATCGCAGTAGATAGGATAAAGCTGCTAAGTATATGAGAGAACTGTGAAGTCTCTGAAATAACCTTGTTGATAATGCTTTTAAAGAACAAGATGATTATAAGATAGGAGTACAGGAATATAAATAGCAATCCTAGCTAGCCATGTACTCTGAGGGGTACATCCCCTTATTAATTGAATTACATTTCTGCAGTAACCACGGCTATTGCCATTCTAGACAGTTACCACGTTGCACTTCGCAACTGCCTTGTGCGGTTACTGGGCAGTCAAGGGTCACGACCGTTGACTGTCTTCGACTGTTGACCTTCGGGTGACCCTCGACCTTCCGCGTGCTCTATATGAGCTATTGCGGCATTGATACAGACGCTTACTTCGTTATGAAGTGACGCGAGGGTGGAGAGCCTTCGGGAATGCTTACGATAACATTTCGGTTATTCCAACAATTCCCACTGTCGTTCGTCTGCACGTGATACCCTCGGCGATCGCGGCACTCGCCCGACGCTATTCCCGCCACCACGAACTTTCGTGCCCAAACCACCCGGCGCGGCTGGTAACGTGAGACCCGGTCCTACGCCTCGAGATTTCCTAACCTCAGCATCAGACCCGTTGGGCACCCTTTTGTAAGCGCATTACCGTTGCCGAAATGCTTTCGCAATATAACTATTCGCTCATGACTTCGCGCATTGTATTGTTTGGCTCGATTGTGCGATTCTCGCTCTATCACTTAATTGCACTCGTAACATCAGTACACATTTACTACCATATTTTGGTCGAAGGAGTTAAACATTTCACCCCCCCACTATCGCGTATAGGTCTTTCGCATTCTCCCAAGAAACATCGCGCCGTCACACCCGTCAACCATCATCACACCTCTCACTCCTCGCGGCGCCCGCCTCGCTCAGTTCGTCGCAGACTCGCACGAAGGCCTAGTCGCTCGCCGTCGTCCAGTCGAGTGAGTCTCACTCGCTGCGCGCCGATACACATTCGACATTGCGCCAGCACCGCACGGCCGCCCCGACGGGTAATTCCCGCGGCTCGACTCCTCTGCGGTTGCAATCCCCAAGTGTCGTGACTCGCTGAGTCGCGTGTGCGTGTCGCTCCCCTGTCGCATGTCTTCCGGACCCTCTCTCCCTCTCGCCTCGTCCCATCTCGCGCTTCTCGAATGGCGTGTTGCGAATCTCTCGTCGTCCATTCAGCAGCAGTGACCTCTCCTGCGCGAATCTCAGCCGTCGCCCCTCAAGGCCCCGTCTCACAACCCCACCCCCCGCCGCCTGCCCCTGGCCTCTTGCTGTGCGACCCTTGTTGCTGGCGAGCCGCTGTGTCAGTGGACGAGAGAGTGGGAATGGCCGGAGGCGGTGGAGGAGCGCGGCCGAGCCAACGCACACCGAGCCTTTCGGTGCCTCCTAGCTTTCGCCTTCTCATGAACCGCACTCATCGCACGGACGGGACTGCAGTGATTGCCGTCCAGCGCAACTGGACTGGACTGGATTTCGCTCCTTTTCCGCCGGGCGATTAATCGCCAAGTATGATGCCGCTGTCAGCGCATCCTCACCGCCTTCCGGAAATCACCCCCGCATCCCCCAGTAGTACTACCTCCGCGTCCGCCCCTCTCCCCGCCTCCGCCGCGCCCAACAGCGCGCCCAAGCTGCCCTCCGCCCTCCCCGCTTACCTCCGCGCTGGGCGCAGGGAGGGCGCAGGCGTGGGAAGAGGAGGCGCGCGGGCGGACGGGAGAGGGCTGGGGAATGAGGGGGGAGGAGCAGTGGGGGGACATGGAGGGGCAGGGGGAGGGGTGAGCGGGGATAGCAAGGAGAGCAGATGGGTGGAAGAGGATGATCAGGGAAACGAGGGGGGTAAGCGGATGGGACAAGGCATGGTGGTGGTGGACGTGGGGGCCGAAGGGGAGGCGCGTGGGGAGCACGAGGAGCAAGAAGAGTTTAGATACATACAGCGGACTTCCAACCAACCACACGGCGCCAGCTGGCTGTTTCATGACGTCATCACTGCCCTGCGATCCTCCGCCGTGTTCCAACTACCAGCACTCACCACCCCCAGCAGCAGCAGCAGCAACGAGCACGATCCCTCACTACCAGTCCCTCAGATACCACCTCCCCCAGGCGCCACCTGCGTGGGGGGGTGTGGCATCAGCAACCAGGCAGCTCTCGCCATCCTCCCCTGCGCGCTGCATTCCCTGCTGCACTGCGTGGCCGTGGGGCAGCTGCTGGCGCTGCTCACCCGCCATGCCTTCGCGCCCCGCCACGCCCTCCTCTCCACCGCCCTCGCTGAGGCCCTCTTCTCTCTGCTCTCCGCCCTGCCTGCCACCGCCCCCGCGCCCAGCCCCCTGGGAGCGGCGCTCATGGGCGCGCTGTGGCGGGTGAGTGGCGCGCTGGGGGTGCCCTTCCTGCCCTGGGCGGGGTGGGTGGGGCTCTGGGCGGCTGTCTTCCTGCTGCTCGCCGCGGGGGGGAATGCGTGCCGGGTGGCGGACCAGTGGGGTGCTGCCATGTGGCGGGTGGAGGGTGTGGTGACGAGCGGAGTGCTGTTTGTAGGTGCGGTGCAGATGGGTGCGGAGGGTTTCAGGCAGGCAGCAGGGGAGGCGGTGGCGGGAGGGGAGGCGGTGGCGTTTGCGACGGTGTGTGTGGCGGCGGCGGGGGTCATCATTGCACTGTGGCTTAGCAGAGCTGCCACGTGGCATGTTCTGAGTGGCTACATCCGTGGTTCACTTGCCCACTATGCTCTCATACTGGCCTTCCTCGCCTCTGCAGGCATGTTCTCTCCCTCACTTACGTGTGCTCTCTCCATCACTCTCTGGTGCTCTCTCTCACTCGCTTCTACGTTTTTGCCTGAGATAGAAAGGGAGCATGCACGGTATGGGCCTGCGCTGGCCCATCTGGAGTTGCTCCCAAGCCTGCCCAACAGGTTCGGTCCGAGGCATACCCGGACCAGGGGACTCGCTGCTGAGGATAGAGCTGGCCCCTCCCAGCCTTGCCACTCTTTGTTTTATATCCCTGCTTCTTGCTGTTGCCTTGACGCATGGAGAGATGAAAGTCTATAAGGTTGGTTCCATGACAGACTAGTCTGAGACCTGGTGGGTGCAGGACATGGAGGGTATGGAGGGTATGGAGGGTATGGAGGGTATGGAGGGTATGGAGGGTATGGAGGGTATGGAGGGTATGGAGGGTATGAAAAGTAGGGAGGGAGGGCACGCGACTGCCTGCAGGGAGGCAGCACCACCAGCTTCTTGCCGAACTTGGCCGCCGAAGCTCCTGGCATGGCATGGAGCGCTCTCTGAGGGGGTGTAGCCACAGCGCTCTCTGAGGGTGTGTAGCCACAGCGCTCTTTGAGGGGGTGTAGCCACAGCGCTCTCTGAGGGGTTGTAGCCACAGCGCTCTCTGAGGGGTTGTAGCCACAGCGCTCTCTGAGGGGTTGTAGCCACAGCGCTCTCTGAGGGGTTGTAGCCACAGCGCTCTCTGAGGGGGTGTAGCCACAGCGCTCTCTGTGGGGTTGTAGCCACAGCGCTCTCTGAGGGGTTGTAGCCACAGCGCTCTCTGAGGGGTTATAGCCACAGCGCTCTCTGAGGGGTTGTAGCCACAGCGCTCTCTGAGGGGTTGTAGCCACAGCGCTCTCTGAGGGGTTGTAGCCACAGCGCTCAAACCTGCCGGCCCAACCGGTGTGTTAGGAAGGTCGCCTTGGGGCGCACGTGCCTTGGGGCGCATGTGCCTTGGGGCGCATGTGCCTTGGGGGCGCATGTGCCTTGGGGCGCATGTGCCTTGGGGCGCATGTGCCTTGGGGGCGCATGTGCCTTGGGGCGCATGTGCCTTGGGGCGCATGTGCCTTGGGGGCGCATGTGCCTTGGGGCGCATGTGCCTTGGGGGCGCATGTGCCTTGGGGGCGCATGTGCCTTGTACGTCTCTATTCCCCTCTCACTCCCCTCTTTCCTCTCCTTTCCATCTCGCACCCCTCCTCCCCCTCGTCTTTCCCCCAGTGCTCCTGGCGGTGCCCCCTTTCCTCCATCTCCCTCCGCTGCTCGCCTACCAGCTGCCACTGCAGGTCGCCCCGCCCCTCATCCCGCCCATCCCGTGGGGCTCGCACTTGGGGGGCGTGTCAGTGGGGGCGGCCCTGGCAGCGGCACTGCCGGGAGCGCTGCTGGCGGCGCTGCTCTTCCACGCGCACAACACAGCAGCGCTGCAGCACGAGGTGAGGAGCAGCGCTGCAGCACGAGGTGAGGAGCAGCGCTGCAGCACGAGGTGAGGAGCAGCGCTGCAGCACGAGGTGAGGAGCAGCGCTGCAGCACGAGGTGAGGAGCAGCGCTGCAGCATGAGGTGAGGAGCAGCGCTGCAGCATGAGGTGAGGAGCAGCGCTGCAGCATGAGGTGAGGAGCAGCGCTGCAGCATGAGGTGAGGAGCAGCGCTGCAGCATGAGGTGAGGAGCAGCGCTGCAGCATGAGGTGAGGAGCAGCGCTGCAGCACGAGGTGAGGAGCAGCGCTGCAGCATGAGGTGAGGAGCAGCGCTGCAGCATGAGGTGCGTGTTGTGCTGGTGCTGTTCTCTCCCTCGTCTGAGCGAAAGCATGCCAACGATGAACGCCCTCTTAAGTTGCCTTCATCACCTTCATCCCTCCTCTTTCCCCGTCCCTGCTTTTCCCATACACCACACTCTGTTTCCTCCTGCCATCACCCATTCCCTCCCTCCCATCCCCTCCTCCTTCCTTGACTCACGTATTCCTCCACTTCCCTCGCTCCATGCCCCCTGTTACACTCTCAATTTCCACTCCCCTGCGTGACCCCCTTCCTCCCAACCCCCCCCTCTTCCTCGCTACCGCCCGTTACCGCACCCCACACTCTCCAACACCTCAGGCACAGTTGCATGCTGCTGCGGGGTGTGGGCAGCGTGTGAGGGCAGAGCAGGCTTGGGGAGCAGACCGTGCGAGGAAGTGGAGGGGAGCAGGGGTGACGAGGTGGGGAGTGAAGGGTAGAGAGGCGGAGAGGGCAGGGGACGTGGAGTGGGGTATGGTCGTGGGGGAACTAGCAGGAGGCACAGGAGAAGGGCATGAGCAGGGTGGGGGAAGGGTTGAGGAGGTGGTGGGGGGAAATGATGGGTGGGAGTTTGGTGGAGTTGGAGGGGAGGACGAGGAGGATGAAGAGGGATGGAGAGTGGATGCAGGAGAGGGGGGTGCAGCAGGGACAGTAGGAATGGTAGTGAGCAGTGAGAGAGGGTGTGAGAGAGTGAGTGTGAGGGAGTGGGACCTGTGTGTGACTGCCGTTGTGGTGGCTCTCTGTCTCCTGCTCGGCCTCCCTCCTCCCATCCGCATTCCATATCTGGTAACTATTGCCTGTGCACCCTTCCATATCCATACGCCCCATTTGTGTGCCAAATCCTGCCACCGCCCACTTTGAGTTTTGTCTGCCTTTCTTCTCTACGAGACTCGCCCCTGTTCTTCCGGATTCTCCAAAACGGTTCCACTGCACAGCCAGCCACCAATGGCACATGGGTGCACTCACACAATTCACACCAGCACTCATCCACTCCCATCTTGCTGCCCCCCCCTTCCCCTTTCCCCCCCTTCGTGTGCCCTCCTTCCCCGCCAGAGCACCATCCGCCTCTCATACCTGCTCAAGCATGCACCCGCCACTGCACCTGCCACACGTGCCACAGTCACAACTGCCACTCAACGCCGCAGTGCGGCCCCTCATGTAGCCCGGCCACACAAGCAGTCGTCCCGCCATGCCAGCACCACAGTGAGATCCGGATTCGACTCCATGCTGCTGCCGCTCATGCCACTCGTGCCGCTCGCAGCTGGCAGCCAGGCGAACTCCTTTGTGCCAGCCACTCGTGCTCCCCACGCCCCACGCCACCCCCCTGCCCCCCTGGCGGCGCTGGTGTGTGAGTGGCGCACCGTGGGGGGGCTGCTGGCGGCTCTGCTGGCGCTGCTCGCCCTGCCCGCCACGCCTGCTCGCTTCCTCACCCTCGTGCCCGTCGCACCCCTCATCGGCACGTGCATGGCGGTGAGTGCTTTAGGTGTTTTACATGGAATGAAGCATTCGGTCACTCTCGTGCATGGCTGTGAATGACGCTCTTGCACTAGCATTGCAGTAACTGATGATTATTCATAAGAAATGAAAGGTGTAGTCACATGAAAGGGGGTGTGATTCGTCCTTCGTTGTGGGTATGACTACTACGGTGCAGTGCCCCCCCTCTTGAACAACCGTCTCCTTTGCATGCAGAATGGCTTACAGAGAGCATATTGTCCCTGCATAGGGGTTCCTTACGTACCCGCAGCAGTCAGCGGGCAGCTTGGCCCCTGTCTGTGGGCCTTCAGTGATCAGCGATCCACATCCGCACGTGCATGCTTCCCATCCCATATCCACCCTCCCGTGCTTATAGTCGCGCGATGTGTTTCCCCGTGCTGTAATACACATTCCTTCTCCTTCCCTCGCTCTGCCTCTCCCACCCACCTCTTGCCCCCCTGGCAGTTGGCCATCCTCCTCTTCCCCCCTTCACTCCACCTCCACCTCCTCCTCTCTCTCGCCCACCCCTCCCGTCGCCCTTCTCTCCCCCCACTCCCCCCTTCCGCCCTCCCTTTCCTCCGCCGCCTCACCTCTCTGGAGTGCCTCTCAGCCGGCCTGCTGCTCGGGTGGTCCTACCTCCCCTTCCTCGCCGCCTCCTTCCCTCTCCCCCTCCTCCTCCTCGCCCTCCTCATGACCCCCCTCCTGCGCCGCCTCCTCCCTCCGCCCCTCTGCGCCCGCCTCGCGCCTCCGCTGCTTCCCTGTGCCGTTGCTCTCCACGCCCGCACCGGCAGCAGCAGCAGCGGCAGCATTGGTACCCCAAGCATTATCCTCACCAGCAGCGGCAGCAGTAGCAGCGTCAGCAGTAGCAGTAGCAGCGGCAGTAGAGGCAGAAGCAATAGAGGCACCGACTGTCTGGCAGCACCGTTTACTTTATCTGGGAACAATGAAGGTGGGGATAACAGGACTGCAGGTGGCACAGGGAGGAGGGCGAGGTGCAAGGCAGGGAGGGCAGAGGAGCACATGAGCAGTGGGGGAGAGAGTCGGAGAGGCAACAGAGTTGTGGAGGAGGGGAGTGAGACGGAGGGAGGGAGTGGGGTGGGTGGTGATGGGGAAGAGGGGAGAAGGGGTGTGAAACGGCGAGCAGTGGGGGAAAAGTACGAGTGTGAGGTGGGGGGCGGGCGAGATGGGCACATGCCAGCAGATGGGCGTGTGGATGGGTCTGGGTCTGGGTCTGGGCATGGGCATGGGCGTGGACATCAGAACGTGGAGGTGCATGTGGGTATGATGTCAGGGCTGACATCAGCATGGCATGACACCTCATTGGACGACCCATCCTCTCCTCTGCACCACTCCGCACCTCCTGTGCACCACTCCGCACCTCCTGTGCACCACTCCGCACCTTCTCTGCACCACTCTGCACGTCCTGCTCGTGGTCAGCAAGGTAATGGTGGGCTGGCAGATGGCCGGACGATTCCCCAGGTGCTCGTGCAAGGGTTGGCACAGGAAAAAAATGAGGAGGAGGGAGAGCAGGAGGGAGGGGAGGAAGGGGAACATGAGGGAGGGAAGGAGGAAGGGGGGGAAGCTGAGGGGAGAGAGGAAGAGAAAGCCGCGGAAGAGAAGGGAGACTTGATGGGGCAGGGAAGGTCAACTCCAGGTGCCCTTGCGGCTGTGCTGTCCTCCCCTCTTGCATCCATCGCCCTGCCATCCGTCCCCCATGTGTCGTCTTCCCCCCTTGTGACGCTGCACAGCAACGCTCTCTTCTCCCCCGCCACCATCATCGCCACTCTTGCTGGCAGCTCCACAGGAAGGAGCCGAGAGAGAGGAAGAGGGAGAGGCGGAGGGAGAGGGAGAGGGATAGGCGAAGAGAATGAGAGAAGGGGGACGAGGGTGAGGAGTATGGGTATTGGGGCAGGGAAGGGAAGCAGGGGTGCGGGGGCTGAAGCAAATGGGAATAGTGGTGCCGGTGGTCTTGTGACTGAGGCACGAAAGGGTGAGGGTGGTGGTGGTATGGAGAGATGGAGTGAGGGATTGGAGAGTGAGGAAACAGTGGCAGCGGTGGACGTTGCAGCTCGGTTCAGAGGGATGCTGAGGAGCAGTGTGGATATTGAGTGCATGATGGCTAGTGAGGCGAGTGGAGAGGCGAGTGGAGAGGCGGAGGAGGAGGAGGAGGAGGAGGAGGAGGAGGAGGAGGAGGAGGAGGAGGAGGAGGAGGAGGAGGAGGAGGAGGAGGAGGAGGAGGAGGAGGAATGGACGGAGGGGAACGAGGGGGAGGGGGGTAGTGGCGACTGGACAGAAACGGGTATGAGTGGTGGAGGGGAGAAAGAGGGGAAAGAGAGTGGAGTGGGAGAGGATGGAAGGGTGGAGGGCGAGGGTGTGGGCAGGAGAAACGGTAAGGAGGCAGACGTGAATGGAGCAGAGGTAGCAGCAGGTGCAGGTGTAGGTGCAGGGGGCGTGGGGAGAATGGAGGCGGTGGAGGAGGAGTGGAGTGAGGAGGGGAGTGAGGAGGGGAGTGAGGAGGGGAGTGAGGAGGGGAGCGAGGAGGGAGGGATGGAAGGGGCGCAGGAGGCAGCAGTGGCATGGGGGATGGCGCAGATGGGGGGAGCCAGTGGGGGAAGCCTGGACTATGGGGCAGTGGGAGGGGCGGAAGTGGGAAGGCGGTGGGACGAGGAGGGGCGAGTGGGAGGGGCGGAGGAGGCGGGGCGGGTGAGGGCGGCAGTGGAGGAGGTGGCGAGCATCATCGGACGCATGTCGGCTGATGTGATGTCCGTGGATGCCGCCTCTCATGCCGCCTCACGATCCTCACATTCCTCTTGTGCGTCTTCGGCCTCATGGGTGCCGTCCACCCCGTCGCCCCCTTATGAGCGCAGCAGTGAGGGCGAGAGGGACGGGACGAAGGGGAGGGATTGGAGGGCGGGTGGGAAGATAGGGAGGAATGGGAGGGGGAGAGAGGCAGGCAGAGGGCTGGGGGGAAAGGGGGCGAAGGTGGGTGGGAGGGATGGCTTGGGTGCAGGGAGAGGGGGAATGAGGGCAGCAGCGAGTGGGAAGGGGCGTGGTGCAAAGGGCATTGCCAGTGCTGCCAATGCTGGCAGGGTTGCTGCCGCTGAGGCTGGTACTGGTGCTGGTGCTGTCAGATATGCCACTGCCGCAGGTGCTGCTGGTGCTGGTGCTGGTTCTATTCGCGGTGTGGCTGCTGCCAGTACTGCTGGTGCCACTCATGTCAGTGCTGCTGCTACAGGCAGTGCGATGGGCGCACGGGTTGTAGCGGAGCAGGTGGCAGTTGCGTTGGCGGCTACGGACGTGGGAGGCGGGGTGGGTGCAGGGGGGGGTTCAGCTGGTGTTGTGAGTGCGGGTGGGAGTGCGGGAAGCACAGAACAGCAGTCACTGGGAGCAGCAGCAGCAGTGAATGGTTCGCAGGCATGGTCAGGGGAGAGTGTGCAGAACAGCACAGTGGGAGGTGGAGGCGTTGGGCAGCCAGCGCCAGTTGTGGACGTGTCAAGGAGTGCGCTCCCATATGCTCTGCCCTCTGTTGCACCCTCTGCTGCACCCAACGCGGCACCTTCTGCGCTCAATCCTCTTCCTGTCTCACCTTATCCTACTACTCCCTCTGTTCAGCCCGCACATGTACATGCCACAAATGCCACGCATGCCCCACATGCCCCATATGCCCGTACCACACTGGCTCCCATAAGCCCCGTGCTGGCAGCCCAGCAGGCACAGCCCCCCATGCACCCCCCACACGCATGGCAGCTGCCAGTGCCCCTCCATCCCACCACCACCACCCCTCACGGCAACACAAAGGGCCTTGCCAGGCCGCCACCTGTGCCCCTGCTGCAGCGAGCGCAGGCAGGCAAGCGAGGTGTGGGGGAGGGCCAGGGGCGGGGCAGCAGGCACGCAGAGGCGGCCCACCCGTCACTCATGTTCCTCGCTCGCCGCGCTGCCACCGCCGCCCATGCCCCATGAGAGGTTTTCCTCCTGCTTGCATGGTGTAGGTGGTCAGTTGGCTCTGTGCTTGCAGCACCACCCACACATGCATGCACCCGTCACTCACGGTCACAAATGCAGGGGATCGTGTGGAAGGGCCAGCAGTTGGAGCGGGGGTTAGACTGATCGGCTCGTCCACAGGGGACGTGTTGTAATGCTGCAATATGCGGTCAACCTATGGGATGCCCTGCACCAGCTCCTTCACATGTTTAAAGCCCGCATGCAAAATAGTGACCCCCCCCTTCTAATTGGGGCCACTTGAATTTCAGGGACAGCTGTGTGTTGCAAAAAAAAACAATATGTGAGCTCCCGAGCGAGTAAAACTCTCCAGGAGGGTGCGAGAATTTTTGTACAGCAAATCACGAAGGTGTACACCCAGTCCAGCGACCCTCACAACGTCGCTCAGTATCGCCAAGCAACCCAAGGCACGATTTGGATCAGTGAGGGGCAATTTGTGTAACAAGCACCTCAAAACCAGTTCCTGCGTAGAACATCGCTGTCACGCAACACGCCCTCAGCTCAAGTACAAGCTGAGGAACCAATTACTACTCATCTCGACAGCCCAATTGGCCATGCCGCATCTAGTCGCGACCTAACCGTTCGCATACTATTCGACGTACGCCACTTGCGGCTGTGTAGAAAACGATGGCGCGGCCGTGAGGTAAACTTTTAGCGCGCCTCACTCGGGCAATCTGCCATCCACACTCGACCAATCCGCCTAGGGTTTCAAGAAGGCATTTCGCCCGGCTGAACTCGGCCTTACTAGATATCGCCGCCCCTGTCGACCTTACAGCAGGGGGCCTGCGCACGACTGACTAGTTTCATCGCCAACGCTCGACATCACAACGCTTTTCCCGCACCAACCAGGCAAGACATCCACATTCGCCCCACTAGCTAGCACTCAATCACGTCTTAGATACCCGTTATAACCGCACGATGGTGCCGCCTGTTCCCCATTTCGCAAAGTCCATGTTGCAACCTCACCATCACGCACATCCCCATCATGCCTACCCCTTCGCACCATGACCAACTTCCCGCCGTGCCTCACCTTGCTTCCGCGGGTGCCCACGCTGCTTCCCCCGGCTCATCACCTCGCTTCCCCCCGTTCCCGACCTTCTTTCCCCCTGGTCCGCACCTTCCTTCCCCCCATTCTCCACCTTCCTTCGCCCCATTCCCCACCTCGCTTCCCCCCATTCCCCTCCTTGTTTCCCCCTGGTCCGCACCATCCGCCCCCTTGTTCCCCACCTTCCTTCTCCCCATTCCTCACCATCCTTCCCCCTCTTCCCCACCATCCTTCCCCCACTTCCCCACCTTCCTTCCCCCCATTCCTCACCTTCCTTCCCCCCGTTCCCAACCTGGATTCCCCCCATTCTCCACCTTCCTTCGCCCCATTCCCCACCTCGCTTCCCCCCATTCCCCACCTCGCTTCCCCCCATTCCCCACCTTGTTTCCCCCTGGTCCGCACCATCCTCCTCCCACCATCCTCCCCCCATTCCCGACCTTCCTTCGCCCCATTCCCCACCTCGCTTCCCCCCATTCCCCACCTCGCTTCCCCCCATTCCCCACCTTGTTTCCCCCTGGTATGGAAGATCCGCCCCCCTGTTCCCCATCTTGCTCCCCCCCATTCCTCACCTTCCTTCCCCCCTGTTCCCCACCTTCCTTCCCCCCATTCCTCACCATCCTTCCCCCTCTTCCCCACCTCGCTTCCCCCCATTCCCCACCTCGCTTCCCCCCATTCCCCACCTTGCTTCCCCCTGGTCCGCACCATCCTCCCCCCTGTTCCCCACCTTCCGAACCCCCACTCCTCACCTTCCTTCCCCCCGTTCCCAACCTGCATTTCCCCCATTCTCCGCCTTCCTTCCCCCCATTCCCCACCTCGCTTCCCCCCATTCACCACCTTGTTTCCCCCTGTTCCGCAACATCCTCCCCCCTGTTCCCCACCATCATCTCGCCTCTTTACCACCATCCTTCTCTCTCTTCCCCAGCTTCCTTCCCCCCATTCCTCACCTTCCTCCCTCCGCCAGGCATGGCCCGACGTGTGCGCAGGCGCACAGGACAACCACCCGAAGTACATCACCCGGAGTGGTGTTGGACGTTGCATGCATTTGAGAAAAAGTATCCAAAGCAAGCTACGGTCCTTGAGCAATGGGGTGCAGAGTTGTCGGGAACTCATAATCTGTGGCATCCCATGGCTTGCCTTCTCCTTCCTGCTCTCACCCTCCCTCCCTTCTTCTTCCAAGCTCTGTTCCTGTGATACCTTACCTGCTCTGCCTCAGCCACTACCATGAGAGATTCTGGCTCCCACACGATGGCTGCCCTCAGTGGCCTAGTCACCTAGCTGCTGTAGCGTTAGAACGGCAACGTAAATCCACTATTTTAGGCAAACAAACGAGAGAACGAACTAAGCAGTGAGTTCCTAGTCTATTTGAATCTCTACCCCGTGCCGCGCAGTTTCCCGTAACTTACATTGGGCTCCGCCCGCTAGGCTTTAGGATTGGCCTTTCAGATTGCCCAGGGCTCGCCCTTGAACTTGTCCCACTCTGCGCCTCGCAAGTCCCTGAATCACCACCTTGCGTCAATCCCCACGCCCCAAACTCACCTTCTACAGTACTTCGAATAACCCAACTACACCTACACTAGCAAGTAACTGAATCTATTGCAAACAACAATACATTCTGTGACAGCTGTCGGGAACTCATAATCTGTGGCATCCCATGGCTTGCCTTCTCCTTCCTGCTCTCACCCTCCCTCCCTTCTTCTTCCAAGCTCTGTTCCTGTGATACCTTACCTGCTCTGCCTCAGCCACTACCTGCCCCCTCCAGAGCTCGTGCTCGGGTCTCCCGTGCACGTGTCACTGGACACTCTTGCTGAGGCCGGGTGCTTCTCACCACTGCAGCATTCGTCAGGCGGTTCCCCGTCTACGCTCTTCTCTGATTCCTCTGCACCAGCACTCTTGGACCCCCCAGGTCCTGCGTCTCTCTTCTCTGTGTATCCAGTGCCACTTCCAGCGTATCCCTCTCTGCAGGTATGCTCCCTGTCCCATGCCACCCAGTTCTCAGCCACTCTCATTCCCGCTGGTTCTGTCAGCACCTGTGTTGCTGGCTCCATCGACTCATCTTCCCATGTCTCTCCCTTAATCCCCTTTACTGTCTTCACGGCCTTTTGTTCTTTCTTACTCATCGCATCTCCCACTGTATGCTCCAGTCCTTCTCCTGTTGTCAGGCACTCCCATGCCCCCTCTTCCTTGCTCTCCCTCGCTGCTTCTTCCTGCTTCTTGGCCGGGTCCCTCACCGGACCTTCCCATCGAGCGACCCATAGGTCACCTTGCCCCTGGTTACACGCCGCCTCTGCTGGTATGCTCCTCACATCCGCCTCGGGTCCTCTCATGGCTTCTTTTCCCATTTCTTCCCCCTTCAGCTCTGGATGTTCTTCCCACAGCTTCCTCACTTGCTGCTCCGCCATCCCACTTTCCTGCGCTTGCTTCTCTGCCTTTAGTACACGTGCCCGTGCCCCCACCTTCTCGTTTTTTCCTCCCGCTTCTGCGGCTGCTGGTGCGCACGCCCATGCCCCCCTTTTCTCGGCTTTCCCTTCTGCTACCGCTGCTGCCACTACACGCGCCTGTGCCCCCACCTTCTCTTCTTTCCCTTCCTCTTCTGCTGCTGCTGCTACACACGCCTGTGCCCCCACCTTCTCTTCTTTCCCTTCCTCTTCCGCTGCTGCTGCTACACACGCCTGTGTCCCCACCTTCTCTTCTTTCCCTTCCTCTTCCGCTGCTGCCACCACACATGCCCGTGCCTCCACCCCTTCATCCCCCACTTCCGCTTCCGCTGCTGCTGGTACACATGCTCTTGCCCCCACCTGCTCATCCTTTTCCTCTGCTTCCGCTGTTGCTGGTACACACGCTCCTGCCCCCACTTTCTCATCCTTCTCCTCTACTTCCGCTGCTGCTGGCGTTACTAACATGCACGCCCATGCCCCCACCTCACTCACTTGCTTCCTTCGCACGTTCCTGCCCCCACTGTGCGGCCACATGTCCGCATGGCCACGCAGCGCCGCACAGGAGCGTTCCGGCTCCTGCTCCTCTTCCTCCTCCTCGTACAACCCCGCTTGCCCCTGAGTTCTTTCTCCCAGCGCCTGCAGTTGGGCTCGTAACTGTTTGATCTGTTCCTCAATCTCCTCGGGTGATCTCCCTGCCTCCCTTACTTTCTCATAGCAGTTCCTTGCCTGATGCCCCTTTTTCCCACCTTTCTCACAGCTCGGTACATCTGGGCAGTCCCTTCGGCGGTGCCCAGGCTTTCTGCACACATCACAGTTCTTGCACTCCCTCCTGATATGCCCCTCCTGCCCGCACCTGTGGCACGTCCGTGTTTCTGCTTGCCTCTCCTGCCACTGTTCCTCCTCACCCTCGTCCTCGGTTATCATCGCTGCAGCCCACCTGGGCCGCCCTTCCTCTGACACCCTTGGCAGGTACGCCTCGTACCGCCTCTGTGCCAGCTCCACTCTCTCTGCCAATTCAAACACCTCCTCTAGCGTTGCTTCCGCTCCCAACTCATACACTCTCATTCTCAGTCCCCCACTCAGTCCTTCATCTAACCCCCCCAGAAACTTGCTAATTAACATGCTGCTGTCCGTGCAGGCCACATCCTCTGCTAGATTGGCGAGCCTCCCAAAGTATGTGAGTAACGACTCCACCTTACCCCGCCTAAACTCCTGAAACTCTCGGATACGGTCGGCCGTGTGGCCCGGGAACTGTTTTCTCAGTCGCTCAAGGAACAGCGTCGTGGGATCATCTCCATCTTCCTCTGCCCGTCTCAGCCACTCCGGCATCTTCATTCGGTACAGCGTTTCAGCTTCGCCCCCCAACGTATTCGGCAGGCTTAAGAAAAACTCTATCGGGTCCATCCCGCTTCTATCGCAGCGGTACTTCACAATTGCGATCTGCATCAGGTAATTCTTCAGGTTGGTTCCGGAACCTGCTCCCCCCGTAAAGCGCACTGGCACCTCCACCTGAGGTGGGGCCTGCACATTCCACCTCCCCGTCTCCCAAGACCCTGAGATCTCATTCCTTCTGCTACTCTCTTCTCTCCTCTCCCTCGACTCCCTGCTCCTCGACGCTGTCCCATACAGTACTTGATAGATTCCTTCTCTGGCTGCCCTTGCTCCCCCAGCGCCTGCCCATGACTGCTGCTGCCATCTCTGCCATGTCGGACTTGGGCTCCTTCCCCCTTCTCTCTCTTGAGCTTCCCCATATCTCTTTGATCCCCACCCTGATCTCTCCCTCTTTTCGGGGTAATATTCTTCCCAGCGCCCCTCCCTACGGCCCGACCCGTGGCGTGCAGGTCTGTCACGCTCTCCTTCCTCGTTCTCTGAGTCATTCGCAGGCATCATCACCCGTCGCCTACTCTGCTTCTCTCCTCTCCTTTTCTGCACCTTGTCGTCTTGCTTCTCCCTCACCTCCACATTGTACTCCCTACGCCCCTCTTGCCTTCCCGTATACTCCTCCTTTCCTCCACAGGATGGTTCCTTCTCGCGCCGCTCCTGCTTCCTGCGTCGGCGCCGCTCCAGATTATACCCATCGTCCTCCTCTTCGCTATACTCATGTTCCTTCTCTTCACGCAGCTCCTCACCACTCCTTCTCGTCTTCTCTCTCCCCTCCTTCCTCTCAAGGGACTCTCCTTCATCGCGTCTCCCTCGTCCGCCTGCTCCTCGGCGCCCATGATCCTCTCTTCTTCTTCCTTTGTCACTTCCCGGGTCCTTCCCAGGGGACACCTCTCGCCGGCAGCGCTCTTCCTCACTCTTTCTCCCGTTTATCTTTCTCTCCTGCCTCCCCCTTGCCTCTCCGACAGGTTCCTGCACCAACCCTGCTCCCGCGCACGGATACTCTTCTATTTCTTCACGGCGCGCTCTCGCACCTGCACCCGTGGCGTACTGCGACGAACACTCACTGCCCTTGACACGTGCTTCCCTCTCCTCCGTCCGTTGCCGTGCAGGCGAGCGCTGCGCGCGCCTCCTATCGCGGTCGTCCTCACTTTCCTCTCCCCCCTGCTCTGGTGATCGCCATCCGCCCAACGCCATGCGCCTCCTGCGCTCATGTCCGCGTCTCGGCTCAGGCGAGCCATACACTCCCGCCTGCACGTCTCGCCTCCTTTCTTCCTCACGGCTGGCTTCTGGCGCGCGCTTAGCCTCCTTGCCTTCGTCGTGCCTTGCATTACTTCTGCGCAGCCTGGCTGGCGAGCGATCTGCATCTGCACCCCCGCGGCGCCTCGCATCATTCTCAGGCATTTCGCCCGCCGAACCGCCCGCATCCGCGCTCCCCTGGCGCCTCGCGCCATTCCCGCTCATTTCGCCTGTCGAACCTGCTGCAACCGCGCTTCCGTGGCGCCTCGCTTTCGCCCGCCGAACCGTCAGCATCCGCGCTTCCACGGCGCCTCGCATCATTCCCACGTATTTCACCCGTCGAACCAGCTGCATCCGCGCTCTCGCGGCACCTCGAGCCATTCCCGCGCATTTCGCCAGCAGAACGATCCGCATCCGCGCTCCCGCGGCGACCTGCGCTACTCCCACGCACTTCGTCTGTCGAGCGGCTTGATCCCGTCGCCCTTCCGCGCTCTTCGCGTTTCTCTCCACGGCGCCTCTCGCCTCCCTCGTGCATGTCGTCCGGCGAGCGATCTGCTCCCGCGTCCTTTGGATCATCCTCCGCCGTCTCCTCGCCGTCGGCCTCGTTTGCCAACATCAGCCATCCCGTTTCGTCGGCATCTTCATGATGCCCTTCACCCGCGCCCCGCTGGCCTCTTGCCAGATCCCAGGGACCGCTTCTTGACGGCTGAGGCCTCGTCGCCAATCTCATCTGCAGATCGGTCTCGCCTCCATCGCGCCGTCCGTCACCTGCTGCCATCCGATCCGCCCGATCCGCCTCTCTCTTAGGCGAGCGATCTGGCGATCGTTCCCGCTCCTGTGAGCGCATCCGTCGCGACGGCGGAATTTCCCGACGCGAATACGTTCGCTGCCAGCGCAGCTCGTGGCAGTCCATACTGCCAATTCTTTCTCTCGTTTGTGAGAGATTCTGGCTCCCACACGATGGCTGCCCTCAGTGGCCTAGTCACCTAGTTGCTGTAGCGTTAGAACGGCAACGTAAATCCACTATTTTTAGGCAAACAAACGAGAGAACGAACTAAGCAGTGAGTTCCTAGTCTATTTGAATCTCTACCCCGTGCCGCGCAGTTTCCCGTAACTCACATTGGGCTCCGCCCGCTAGGCTTTAGGATTGGCCTTTCAGATTGCCCAGGGCTCGCCCTTGAACTTGTCCCACTCTGCGCCTCGCAAGTCCCTGAATCACCACCTTGCGTCAATCCCCACGCCCCAAACTCACCTTCTACAGTACTTCGAATAACCCAACTACACCTACACTAGCAAGTAACTGAATCTATTGCAAACAACAATACATTCTGTGACAGAGTGGCTTGGATTGAGGTCCGAGAGTGAGTTGCAACATGGGAGGAGGACTGTTGAGAATATTCTACGAGTGTGTTGTGGAGGCGGCAATACGCCGAACAGTTGCACGGGTCAACCGTTGCTGCCCAAGAATCATCGCTTTCGCTGCTATGTCACATACTCCAGCTTGCTCGGTGACCACCCTTTTGCACAGGTTCCATTGCCCTGGCTCATATATGTCGTGATCAGCTCACTATATCCAGAAAGTGGTGATGGCTGTTACGAACATTGCGAGCCTAGGGACGTGGAGCACTTTATTAGTCAGTGGGAGATACCAGATGTTATAGACTATGCGATTGTCGGTTGGTGAGGGTGCAAGAAAATTAGATGAAACTGAGCTAACTGTCTGCATGTTGTATAACATCAATAACAATATATACATCTAATCACTAGATAGTATATGAAGTTTAGCAACATGCATCCTTCCCCAAGAGTTTTGAATAGGCACACTACACGCAGGACTATTGATGGTTGACTTGACGCCGGGCTGTTTGACGGGCTAGGACACGAGACAGGCGTGCCTGTTTTGCGGGAAACAAGAATAAACATCGGTGGTGCGGATATGGAAGGCATGAATATAGCTGGCATAACGTCGGTAGACTCAGGAGGCACATGAAACGCTGAAGAATGCTCCCCATCCTATAGATTTCCAACCCCCCAGACCGCCTCCCCCCCAAAAAAACGGCAAAACAGGAGGGTGTGTCACCTCATGGGTTTGGGGTTGCAATAGGTGGGCTGGTGGGTGGCCTGGTGGGTGGGCTGGTGGGTGGGCCGGTAGGTGGGCTGGCAGGTGGCCTCGTGATGGGCTGGTGGGGCAACCGCGGGGTACGAGGGACGAATCAGTTGGGCAGCAGGTGGTACACAGAATATAAACATGAAAGTTCTAGGGGGGAGTGTCAAAACATTATTTCATGGGTGGGCTGGTGGGTAGGCTCGTGGGTAGGCTGGTCCGAGGCTGGTGGGTGGGCTGGGGGGTGGGCCGGTGGGTGGGCTGGTGGGTAGGCTCGTGGCCTCGCTGGTCCGAGGCTGGTGGGTGGGCTGGTGGGTGGGCTGGTGGGTGGGCTCGTGGGTAGGCTCGTGGGTATACTGTGTCCAAGGCTGGTGGGTGGGCTGGTTGGTGGCCTGGTGGGTGGGCTGGTGGGTGGGCTGGTGGGTAGGCTCGTGGGTATACTGTGTCCAAGGCTGGTGGGTGGGCTGGTGGGTAGGCTCGTGGGTATACTGTGTCCAAGGCTGGTGTGTGGGCTGGTGGGTAGGCTCGTGGGTATACTGTGTGTGGGCTGGTGGGTAGGCTCGTGGTTGGTGAACCCTGGTGATAGAGCTTGGGGCTTGGGGGTAGAGCACTTTGTCGCCCACCTCCACCGCCACGAACACCACTGCCTGCTTGGTGGGCAACGAGGGGAAGGAAGAGCAGGGCAGGATCGCAGTTAGGCTTGTGAGAGTGCGATAGATATTGGGCCAACCCCGAGCGGTGGCAAGCTTTCTCCCGTCACAGATGCCACAAACAACCCTGCCTGCACAACTGGCAGGATGGTGAGGGAGGGATGAAAGAGGGCCAGTTGTGATTAGACCAGAAGCTGTTTCTTGGCCACGGTCAGCCAGCTGATGCGCACAACCATGGGGGCCCGATGCATGGAGGCCTGCTGTCGATGGCCCTGATCTTGCAGCCAGCGGCCCGCTGCCACCTCTGCATGTCCAGGTTTTGGGGACGATGGATGGGGGAAGGGGAGAGGAGGGGAGGGGAGGGAGGGGCAGTGGTGTGGAGGGCAGGCCTGCACAACGTTAGACCCATAATGGCTGTGGATAAGAGCTTGATTGTTCACAGAATATGATTGTGCTCCACCATGTTGCGAAGATTAGCTTTTGAAACAACGGGCATGGAGCGACAGTACTCTATTCTAGGTAGATGGCACAATGTGTGTGCTGTGATGGGACCTGCTCATGCCAGTGGCTTGTTTCGCAACCCGTTCAGAACGCGACGGGCTGCTGATCGCGAGCACAGCAGCCCGTCAGAACGCGCGGGGCTGCTGATCGCGAGCACAGCAGCCCGTCAGAACGCGCGGGGCTGCTGATCGCGAGCACAGTAGCCCGTCAGAACGCGCGGGGCTGCTGATCGCGAGCACAGCAGCCCGTCAGAACGCGCGGGGCTGCTGATCGCGAGCACAGCAGCCCGTCAGAACGCGCGGGGCTGCTGATCGCGAGCACAGCAGCCCGTCAGAACGCGCGGGGCTGCTGATCGCGAGCACAGCAGCCCGTCAGAACGCGCGGGGCTGCTGATCGCGAGCACAGCAGCCCGTCAGAACGCGCGGGGCTGCTGATCGCGAGCACAGCAGCCCGTCAGAACGCGCGGGGCTGCTGATCGCGAGCACAGCAGCCCGTCAGAACGCGCGGGGCTGCTGATCGCGAGCACAGCAGCCCGTCAGAACGCGCGGGGCTGCTGATCGCGAGCACAGCAGCCCGTCAGAACGCGCGGGGCTGCTGATCGCGAGCACAGCAGCCCGTCAGAACGCGCGGGGCTGCTGATCGCGAGCACAGCAGCCCGTCAGAACGCGCGGGGCTGCTGATCGCGAGCACAGCAGCCCGTCAGAACGCGCGGGGCTGCTGATCGCGAGCACAGCAGCTCGTCAGAACGCGCGGGGCTGCTGATCGCGAGCACAGCAGCCCGTCAGAACGCGCGGGGCTGCTGATCGCGAGCACAGCAGCCCGTCAGAACGCGCGGGGCTGCTGATCGCGAGCACAGCAGCCTCATAGTGCATGCGGTCAATGTCGCACCTTGATGTAGCCTCTAGTAGCGTTTCACTAGTGCAAGACGGCCGCCACCACGCCCCCCCCTCATTCGGAATACAGGAGCCTCGCCCTTTCGTCGCGTAGCCTAGAGCGCGCGGTCAACCTGGCTCTGGCAGTAATAACACAGGAGGAACTGAGCAATGCGTTGTAATGGCCTAGGTAGTCCACTGGTGGCACTCTCAGCATCCGTGACGAGATTGTCCGTCGAGCTCTAATTGACTTCCCAGAATGTCCGTCGTACGTGCTCATTGATTCCAAGACCGCGTCGCGTGTGTTCTGGTGCACACGTAGCTGCGCGCTTAGATTTCTCTCCATTTGAGACACCGTCAGTCACGCCACTCATGTGCATTATGCACCCCTGGTCCAATTTGAAATTCTAGTTGGACCCAACTAGAATGGTCGTGGGCACAACCCTGTCACAAGTGGGTTGTTTCGTGAGGTTGAACTCCCCTCATCCAATGGAAGTTTGTTTCTCGTGTCTTGAACTCTGCTTTGATGAGCTAGGTGGGCTGGTTTGTTTGTCGCACGGTGCTCAAATCTGTCGTGCAAGTGAGACGCGGGAACCATATCTATTTACTCTCGACCAATCTGGGTCCGTGGTTTGGGCTTTTGATATCGTCAACCTATCACACTCCGAAACTAGTGGTTACCACTGTTTTTCAGTCCCGATCCCAAACTGTAGCAAGCTGTTTTCCATTGGTAAAAAATCTCAACAACACACTAGCATATCCTGGGCCATTTCAAGCTGGGTTGGGGGTCACTATTTTGCATGCGGGCTTTAAGGAGAAGCTCCCTGCAAAACCGAACATTCTCTATACCACCGTGTGTACTTGTTAGCATGTGCCTTGTTCATTGAAATGCTCTTCTACTTGGCCAGCCCACCCAAATGTTCTTCTGCTTGGTCCACCCAAATGTTCTGCTTGGTCCACCCAAATGTTCTGCTTGGTCCACCCAAATGTTCTGCTTGGCCCACCCACGCATAGGAGTCACAAACGAGCTGCACGAACTGGAGTTTGAGTGTTTTGCTACAACACTGCGGAAGAAATTGACTTTCCAGCAGGCCCTCT